CTGGAGGGAACGAGAGACGGGTGAGGAGAGGGCCAGCCCCCACCGGGCTGCCACCTTCACCCGCCCCAGGCAAACGGGCTCCCCCCGACCACACCGACCTGTGCGACCATGTTGGTGACGTCGCCGGTGTTGGCGGGCAGCAGGAGGGTGTTGGAATCTTTGGCAAGCTTGGAGAAGGCGCTCACGTACTGCTCTGCCACAGAGAGCGATGCGGCAGCGCTGCCGTGCTGCGGAGAGAGGGACGAGGCTCAGCAGCGAGTCGTGTGCCCCCAAAACCCACCCACGGCCCTGGCCCCAGCTTGGTCACGTCCCCCAGGACAGCAAAACTCGTCCCTCGCTGCTGCTGAAGATGCCAGGGAGCGTCCAAGAGGTGCCACCCCACCCACGGTTTCACCTCCCCCCACGCCAGCGCCAATGCGGTGATTGCCCCGAAAATCCATCGCTCACCTGCTGAGCCAGAGCAGCTGCCAGGAGCTGAATGGCCTCCGCCTTGGCCCTGGCCCTGACCAGCATGGCGTTGGCCTCTCCTGCAACGAACCGCAGCACAACACCCGTCAGAGCTGGCATGAAGACCCCACAAGGAGCCAGTCAGGGCAACTTCAAGGATCAAGGCCTTCCTAGGCCTCCTCTTCCACAGGAGCAGCACGGCGATACTCCAGCCGCACGCCTCCTGCTGCCCCAGACTGTGGGGCAGCAACGGGAGCCGGAGCTCAGCCCAAGGGCTCCGCAGGGAAACATCAGCGTGGCTGAGGAACCCCAGCGCAGGGACAGCGATGCAGGCTGCTCCCCGGGGAGCATCACCCCTCAGTGCAGATCCCCCAGGCCCCACACCTTCTAGCCCAAAGCACTACCAGCAGCTTTGTTGATTTGTTCGGCCTTCTCAGCTTCGGATGCCAGGATCTGCGCCTGCTTCTGCCCCTCAGCCACGTTGATAGCCGATTCCCGCGTCCCCTCTGACTCCAGCACTGTCGCCCGCTTCCGTCGCTCTGCTTCCACCTGCAAACACAGGTCAGACACCAACCCGCCACGGCTGTGCTGGGGAAATCCCATGTGTGGGGCAAGCGCAGCGAGGGCACGCTCCTACGTCCCGCTGGGGCAAGGGCAGCCTAGCCGAGGATGGGAACAGGGCTATAAAACATGGAGCGATCCCTGGGGATGGCTGGTTCTGCTCCTCACACTGCACAGCTCTCCGCAGCCCAGTCCATGCCTAACTGGACAGTCGCTTCCCCTTCCAGCCCACAGATCTGGCACACGGCTTTTCTTAAGGGATTTGCTTCCTACGGAGGCCAGTAGGGATTTTAAAGGGAGCTGGCAGGGCCTGTGTGTACCAGGCAGGGCCCACCACTGCCAAAACAGGGCCAGGAAGTCTATACGCAGTGGCTGTAGGACCAGAAGTGCCAAAGTGCTGCCAGCTCTGGACAGAGAACAAGCGTGCAGCGTGGAAGGGGAGACTTCCCTCTCCTTGCTGACCGCCCTCGCAGAGAACCCAACCTGCATCTGCATGGATTCCTTCACCCGAGGGGGGACGTGGATGTCCTTGATCTCATAGCGCAGGCACCGGATGCCCCAGCAGTCCGAGGCCTGGTTGATGGCATCCACGATGTTGGCGTTGAGGGACTCCCGCTCCTGAGAGGCAGGAATGAAAAGGCAGAGAGCAAAGAAGAGGCGCTTAGCACGAAACAGGGGTCAGGAGGGAAACAGATGACCCGCTCCTGGGCCAACATCAGCCAGAAAAACCCATCTCCAGAGGCATAAAGCAGGGCCAAATGCTTCCCACATCTCCTGAAGGGGTCACCTTCTCCTAGGAAGGGCAGTGCCCAAATGGAATTGCTGGGATAAAAATACACCTGGGTACAAACATGGTCCAGAAATGCCAACAGCTCCTGTTTCTGCCTAGCAAATGCAGCACGGGGCTTACAGCCCCACAAGAACTGGGTCAGCCAGGACACTCCTCACTGGACCCAAGCACAGAGTCACTGACTCCAGAGAAACGCAGTTCTCCTAGGAAGGGCAGTGCCCAAATGGAATTGCTGGGATAAAAATACACCTGGGTACAAACATGGTCCAGAAATGCCAACAGCTCCTGTTTCTGCCTAGCAAATGCAGCACGGGGCTTACAGCCCCACAAGAACTGGGTCAGCCAGGACACTCCTCACTGGACCCAAGCACAGAGTCACTGACTCCAGAGAAACGCAGCGGGAGCAGCCAGGCCCGAGCCCGCACCACCCATCACAAGGGTAACAGCTTTAAATTGAAAACGGGGAGGTTGAGTGGATATCAGGAAGAAATTCTTCCCGGAGAGGGTGGTGAGGCACTGGCACAGGTTGCCCAGAGAAGCTGTGGATGCCCCATCCCTGGAAGTGTTCAAGGCCAGGCTGGATGAGGCTTTGAGCAGCCTGACCTAGTGGAAGGTGTCCCTGCCCATGGCAGGGGGGTTGGAACTGGATGGTTCCCACCCCAAACCATTCTGTGGTTACCCCTTCTAACTAACCCAGGGCAGCGTGAAAAATAGCTCCCATTAAAAAAACAAACCCTGAAAGAAGCCCCATCTCCAAGGATTCACTAGTAGGTCAACTGACACAGACGGCCCCTAAGCAGAGGGTGTTTGAGCGCATCAGCCTGGCCACACAGCCTGCCCCAGGGGTCTGAGAGATGCTGGCAACTCCATGATCCTCCTCCACAGCTCACCCGGAAGACTCTGTCAAGGGAGAGTTTGCCAAGTTCAGATCTCATGGTGGTCTGGGCCAGCTGGGTCACTGCATACTCAGGATCTTCCACCCCGTAGCTGGCCTGGAGAGCAGAAGCAGAAAACTGAGTCAGCGGCGGAAGCAGGATAGTCAAACGTAGCGCTAAGACGAGAAACCTGCCACACACACCCCCACCACCGAAAAGCTGGGTCCGGAGCTGAGATCTGCCTTCCCCTCCTCCTCCTATTCCCTCGGGAGGGACGGGGGCACTCAGCCCACCTGCCTCGCAGCACGCCGGGCCGAGGCTGAAGGGCGCATCGTGGGGAGAAGGGAGCCGGCAGTGCTAGGAAAGTGGTGCCCGAGGGGCTGCCAAGGCCAGGCAGACCGCGCCGGGCACAGGCACAGACACTCGGAGGCTGCACGTGTGGCTCAGGGCGAGTGTCAGCCCAGCAGGGTCTGTACCTTGTAGGGATCCATAACCCGCAGGTAGAGCACACCGTCAATCTGCAGGGTGACGTTATCTGCCGGAGGGAAGAACACGTCCCGTTCACTGAAGCAGCAAGGACAACATTCAGCAATCCCCTCTCCCTGACAGAACCAGCGGCGCTGGGCAGGGCCATCCCCGTTAGAGAAGACATTTGATTAACTGTGTTCTTCAGGCAGAATAACCCTGTTTAGCATTAGCGGCTCAGCATTAGGAGCTAAAGTAGCTGAAGCCTTAGGTCGCAAGAGCTGCCCGAGTGCAAACCTTTTTAGAAAACTAATGCTGCTAACAAAGAACTCCCTGCCTTCAGCAGACACAAGCGGAATGGATAAGAGAAGGACCAAGGAGACAATTCCAAGAGATGAAGTAACTTCAGAGGGCAGCCAGCCCAGCGACAGTGAAAACCAGTAAGGGATCAAGAGGTCACCGACCAGAACTAAGTGACTGGACTTGGGAATCGTGTGTGTGTAAATCCATAACAACCCCTTTCCTTCCCGGTGTCAGTGGCATGGTGCGGAAGAGGGATTGGCTGAAACAGACCTCGCTATCTGAAAGGCTTTGTAAAAAGGACCTTGACGTTCCCTACAAAACACTGTATTTTGATGTTTTAGTACGCAGTAAGTCTCAGCTCTCCAGATCAAAATGTTTCAAACTGTAGTTATTTTCATAAATAAAGATTCAGGACACACACACACAAAAATGAAACCCAAAAAGCTTAATGCCAGAATTCTAACAGACCTGTCCAGTAACCTGACCTGAAATATTTTTGACAAAAACACAGAGGAGATTTTTTGTGGCTCACCACAGAAAACATGTGAAAAACGGATTCCTGCGGAAGTGTGTTCAGCCCAGCAAGAAGGGGCGGCCGCCGTCCCGAGAGGGCAGATGGGACCTCCTGGGGTGCCCCTCCGCACCCAGAGCATGGCCAAGCTCGGGTCCTCAGGGACAGGGCTGAGCGCAGGAGCCTGGGGCACTTCCACTCCTCCCCGCCCTGCCCTTGCTCACCCCGGGGGCAGCAGAGGGAAGGGGCAAGAGGCAGGAGCGGCTCCTTACCCAGGGTGACAGCTGACTGCTCTGGGACGTTAATGACGATTTCTTTGAGGCTCTGCACGTAACGGATCCGATCCAGCAGAGGGATGAGGAAGTTCAAACCCTGGGAAAAGGGCAGGATTAGATGGCTGAGCCTACTGATGTGGGGTTTTCCCCACCGAGAGCTCAACCGGAGTAAAGGGGACCGTGCAAACAAAGCCCGAGTATGCTACAGATGCTGCAGGCAGAGGAAACATGCTTTATACGTGGGGGGAAATTTAGGTTTCTTGTTGCTTTTAACACTCCACCCAAGGAAATTAGACTACCGGCAGTCAAAACTCTGGAAGAATAAGCACCCCTGCCGCTGAATCCTTGCGCAAAGGACACGCCTTGCTACAGCTTTAGGAACCTGCTGAATCCAGAAGGGGAGAAAAGCGTCTCCTTACAGGCTCGAGGATTCGGTGGAACTTGCCCATCCTCTCCACCACCCAAGCCTCCTGCTGCGGCACGAAGAGCACGCCAATGTTGACGGGCAGGCCAGAGCTCGAGCGGTGCGGTGCCGGGGTCAGCCACGCCGGACGCTGCAGCTGCTGGGAGCGCTGGATGAAGGGGAAGGACGGGGATGGAGACTGGCTGCTGGTGCCTCGGAGCCCAGCACCATCC